TATTTATCAATCTGTAATAAAAGACGTGAGGAAATTCTGTCTTTTTTAAAGACAAAAATTTTTGAGGCGAAATACTCAAAAAGAAGTTTGTAAAATAATGAATCCGCCTCAACAATATGGAAGTTATCTAAAACCCAACATTGGGTTTAGACCTGGAGGTACCTTGCAAACAGTCGCAATTCTCAGCTTCTTTTCGCACCACGTCTAAGACAGCGTCCACAAGCTCAGCGCCCTCTGTGTAGTGGCCTTTGGCCCAATTGTTGCCGGCGCCTGATTGGCCAAAGACGAAATTGTCGGGTCTGAAGAGTTTTCCGCATCGGCCTGAGCGAATTGAGTCCATTGTGCCCGGCTCCAAGTCCAGTAAAATGGCTCGGGGCACGTATTTTCCTCCATTTGTACTCGAGGCAACTGAAATTTGCTTGTTTATGTTACATTCTCTTTACGGGAGAGTTTCGCGTTTTCAGGCCTTGTCCGTCCTCAGATACGTGTCGCCCGAAGGGGTCGCACCTCTAAGAGTCTGGATCAAATTCCTATCGATCAGGGCCGAAAAACCCAAAAACCCTTCAAATATCCACCTACTTTAAACTGATTTTGGACTTTCCCTTAAAGCTAGACGGTTGTTTCCTTTTTTTGTGTCGCCCTAATTTGATAAATTTTAAGCCGCGAATGTATCAAGTTGGAACGCAGCCACGCGCGGGCTTTCGGGCATGTCGCTAGGCGTCCATGGGTGCGAGTGAGAGAACCGATGCGCGCCACGTTCCAGAATGAAAATCTCAGTTTTAGGCCTGGGTCACACTGTGTTGAGTGGCGCTATTGAGTTTTTGCCGCTCTCTGAGTTAACGAGTTATAACTCATTTGTTAAAGCTTTATGAGACCCGGACTGCAAAAAGTTTTTATAGAGCTATAAATTTATCTTGAAATTTTTCGCGTAAAAGTCCTCCAGACCGTCAGTATTTTTAAGTGAAACTCTACAAAATAGAGCTTTTGTGAGTAGGAAGTAAAGCAAAAACATTCAGTTTTGGAGGATTTCTAATGGAGAAATTGAGGAATGGAGGTGACGAGATTTCCAAATAATCTGTTATAAACTTTCGCTTATTCTGTTCGTTTGTTGATAGAAAATTATTTGGTTTTTGTTCCAAATTCGACTCTGGAAAGGGATTTCAAAACTTTTTATAAAGCGACTAAGAATTCGAAGTGTATTTCATAATTGTTCGCGAAAAATCCTTTAAAAGGATAAATGGGCAGAAAATGGAGGATGGGGCGCCAGCTTGCAGAAAGCAGGTAAGAATGATCTCTAATCCATAAAACTTTCGCCATGAACTGCTTCAGACAAGTTTACGCCAAAATTTAGTCCGAAGGTCTGCAAAAGTCAATACAATTTGATTCATCGGAAAACGGAAAAATAACGCGCAATTAACGGAAACCCTTGAACATCGAACGACTCAGTCTAATGTTTCCCGAACTGTTTTCGGGACAAAAAACCTCTTTCTTGCATGTCCGGTGTCAGATTTCGGCTTGGATGGAAGACATCTGCTCTATTTTCGAGCAGGTTCACTGGTCTAAACAACCGCACGTTCTAAATTTGAGACATCTATTTTTGTATGGTATCTTTTGTGATGTTGTTACTCATTTAAGTGGCTCAAATGCGTAATAATCATCCTGTTTACTGGCTTCTTAACGGTCCGAAGAAAACTGCACTTAGATCTTCAAAAACTTAAAAAATATCCAAGCTCGGTCGCAACACTTAAAATCGCCGGATGTCAAGTCGGGCCAAACCGGTGACTCATTTACTTCTTCATTGAAATTGCTGATAATTTGTCTTAATTGAGCCACTTAGGCCCCGAAACTACTGACTTTAACTTAAGACCCTCAACATTACTTAAGCATCCAAATTTACCGAATTAAAGCCGTTATTAACAATGAACAGATCGCGTACTTACATCATTCATAGTGGCTTTCTTCAAATAAATTACGCTTCAAATCCAAAGTGAACTGAATCTTCTAATCGAGCATCTGTTTCAAATCGGCTTTTCTGAGTGGCTTTTACGGTGTCGAAAGGTTCCTTGACACCTTGCATTGTTTGGAATTTTGCATTTGGTGAGAGCGCGCTTTTGCTCTAAAACTACATTTTTTAGGCGCGTGTTTAAATAGCGGACAAAAATCAAAATCAAGTGCGATTTCAATGCAAATTTCTCAATGTGGAGATGCAACTGTCTGCTATATTTTGCGAAAGTTTCAAGTCGGTACCTGCTCCAGATTAGTAGTTACGAATTTTTTAAAGAGGGCG